GGGTCTCACGTTTACCCCCTGGGGAAGGAGCGGGGGCAAAATTTATTATGGTTTATAATGGCAAATGATACTTTGAATATTACATGTTAATAACTTGATTGAAATTATAACCTTTAATTGACAGTTTGATACTTTGAAAATTTTGAGCCAGCCCTACTCCAAGGGCTGTAGGGTCGGGCTTAAAGGAGTCAGTGTGCTAAAATTTCTTCATTTTCCTTGTTAAGAATCAGAGGTGCTAGTTTCAAATCCTTTTTAGTCTGAAATCTGTCTGTATGCTAGATATTGAGTAAGGTGGTTTTATTGTTTTTTGTCACTTTGAATAATATTTAAACAAAATCAACTCTCTGTATAAATATATCAGGTGACCGTTAAGGCCCATGGGCCTCTTGTTTTAATTAGGTTCCCCATGGTCCCTAGCTGTGCAGAGCAACTTTTAAGACTGATCGGATAAACAACATGGCCGACAGGCAGCCATCTTCGATTTTGATAGTGAAAGTTTGTTATCGCTATTTCTCAAGAAGTACCAAAGGGATCTTTCTCAAATTTTATATGTAGGTTCCCCTTGATCCTAGCTGTGCAGGGCAATTTTAGAGACTGATCGGATAAACAAAATGGCCGACAGACAGCCATCTTGGATTTTGATAGTGAAAGTTTGTTATCGCTATTTCTCGGGAAGTACGGGAGGAATCTTTCTCAAATTTTAAACGTAGGTTCCCCTTGATCCCTCGTTGTGCATGTTATATTTTGAGACTGATCATAAAAACGAAATGGATTTAAAGAAGAACTAAACAGATCTTTCTCATATTGCAATGATCGATTCTATTTCTTTCACATTAAGTACTGTACTAGTAAATATGTGANCATCAAACAGATTAAAGGAAAGAAGAGAAAAGATCGAACTGATACAGAACTAATGAAGATGGTACAAAGGTGGTCGCCAAGATCCCTCTGGGATCTCTTGTTTTCCTTTTCATGTAACAAATGGCATTTGATTAAATAAGTTTGATGCTAATATCAAGGTTTTGCATGATATTTGGTATTATTTTTTAGTAGATTACTCTTCTATTGAATAATTACCTAAGCAGGTGTAAGCAGTTGTAAATACAATTGAAACTTGTGTAAACATCGCCTAGGCGATTTCATTACTTTGTCTCCCAAACACTTGACCATACCCAGCTAGATACAAAACGCGTCAATTCAGGTCCATAGTAATACGGAACCTTGTTGTTTTATTTTGTATCAGACATAAATCCCGGGGATCGGAAGAGCCACTTAGTCCCTGGGCAGGTTCTGATGGCTGGGGCATTGTTTATTGGGAGAAGCACTTGACATGGCTGATAACAACAGATAGGCAGCGTGGACACGCACTGTATTGATCTAAAACACAGGTGAGGCTATACACGAGGGTTGTAACGATAACAATAAAAACAATACTACTTAGTATTCATTTAGTACAAATACAAATTCATACAAAGTGGGGGGTTTTCAGTTGATGAACATACTATAACAAAACATAGAACCAAACAAGAGAATACTTGACAAAAAGTTAACAATACAGAAGGTCAGGCTATACATGAACAATTATCTACTAAATGTACCAGAAAAATAACCAACACATCCCACTTATTGAATATAATTTATATGTTTGCTTTACGCCATGCCGATTGTATTTATTTCAACTAAAATAATATCTGTTAAAATCTAACCTTAAGTAAAACGGGTTTTTTTCATCCGCTACAGGTTCAATAAAATAATGAAAATCGCCTAATTTGACCAACTTTGAATCTAATACAGTAATCTACGTTTTGTGTAGCAGTAAAATATATATTTGGCAAAACATTTCATCGGAGTTCTGGCGTTGAAAAAGTATCGTGACCAGAAAGCAGTCTCAATGTGAACACATTAGTTTTTGTTTCTTTTCTGTATATAGAAAATACTATAACTTCATTATGAAATTTCATTGTTTGCTTCTGACTGATTGATTAATATTGGTAAATCTGTAATTGTATTTAATTTTCAAACATGCCGAATATTACTGTTACAAAACAAATAGCCAATAACCTTCGTTTGCCCAGTAGGGCCGATTTTCAGCTATTTTAAGTCCCAAATAATAACGACTTAAAGGCTGAGTTTTGGCACGTTTTTCTTTTTATATATTAATCATTGTGAAAAAGAAATAAATGATATTGCAGAAAGTTTGACGTCATACCATAGATTAGTTGACTAAATTACCTCAACTACTGATTGAATGTTTTATATATGGTGTAAATCAGCGATATATCCGTTGGATTGTCAGAATCACTCTGCATGGTGCTGTTGGTTTTCCTTTGACATGACTAGATTGTCTTCATTAGTGACCCTGCGATGTTTTTGGCTCTTCCTAAACGCAGGAACAATATTGTCGGTGTCCTTTAACTGAAACAGAACATAGAACATATATCCAGAAATAAACACCCCACACTATTTCCACAACAGGAGTGCACAAGAGCGTACAGAACAAAGGTATCAACAACGTAAATAACTTATTGCCACCATTTTTACCTTCTTTTGTGAAAAAAACAGTTACTTATTCTATTCATTCGTTTGTCTTTAGAAAAAACTGAAGACATGAAATAATATAAAAGATTGTAACTTTAACGTTTATCTCTATAAGTTGCATTTCAACATTTGCATTATCAAAAGCGAAACAATTATCAGGGGTTATCGTCGTCAAGACTTAAAACTCCATACAAATGTATGTGCTGATACTAACAGTTGGCACCTGATGGTTCAATATAGCAGCAGGCGTATATGTAATACCGATATGATACCTTTATAGATACTAACAGTTGGCACCTGATGGTTCAATATAGCAGCAGGCGTATATGTAATACCGATATGATACCTTTATAGACGACAATATAGATATCGTGTGTTTCACTATTGTCACCCTCATTGAACTCATCCATTCCATACATGCACTGTTGGTACATGATAAGCTGAACCGTTCACTCTCAGTTCCAATTTATTGATGAATGAACTCCTCGGTCCAGACAGCTCCTCTTTTTATCGACCAAACCATGGGACGATACTTTTGCTTAAATGATACAAGAGGCGTTTACAAGAGCACCGCAGAGGAAAATGTTTTATAACACTTATAAACATCATTATATAGGTAAATACTTATGTACATGCTTTTATAGTCATTTCATAGTACACATAGTTCAACAATGCATCATCATGACGTAATAAAGATATCAATTGTTCCCAATAAAGTATCGTTTATAAACTGATAGAACAATGAAAAAAATATTTCTAATAAGGTATTGAATGTCTTGTGATTAACAATGTACTTCTACTCAATTATACAAACGATTTTTTTATTATTTTTATGAATGTTTTCGTAACTCAATGGATGTTATTGTTCCCGTATTGATTTTTAAATGGGTTCGTAGAAAAAATGCTATCGATAGAATCCAATTGTTTGTTTACAGAGCTTAGTCGTGTATTTAAACACTTAACTTTCTAATGACTATTGTACAATTTCTTTAAATGCCAGTAAAAGCATTTTCCCTTTAACATGCCAAAATGGAAGTTTTAAGAAGCGGAGATTATTATGACGGCAATCGGTCTTTAAACATTGAGTTACATTTATTTAAATGTAGCCGCATGTTCGTATATACATGTATATACGAATGTTGTATATTCTCCCTTACAGTATTCCGACAGACATTCTTTAGTACGTCCGTAATGAAATGAACAGTGAAAAAAACCCGATTAATTTACAGTTATAATAGGAAATTAAAATACCGTTTATTTCATTACACATTGTTTTCGGTGTTTTCGAGACATTTAATAGAATATACGCTAAGCTATATTATGACAAATAAATCTGCACGTGAGCTACATTGCTCTGTAAGGAGCACTATGGATTTAACTATAAACAGATATTAATTGAGTTTTTGATTGAACTGTAGCAGAGTTGGGCCAGGATACGTTCGTTGAGTAGCCCAGCCGGTTAGAGCAATATATTATAACAACCTGAAGGTTTAGGGTTAGAATCCCTGTCTAAACCCACGTAGGTTGTTACAGAACAATACTGTTGATGATATTTTGTTTATTTCATCGATGTTGTTTCCATAAAAGTGCCGCAAGGCAAGTTATGGCTTTCTTTTCAAAAAATATTTTTCAAATGTCTAGTCATGCTAGAAAAAACTAACAGTTTCCTGAGTGAGTACAGTATTTGGCAGTGGTACGAGGATCTTTAACATCTAAATTTGAGTACACAAATTTGTCATTGACATTGACAGTGTCTACTTCGTGACAGAATGACACATTGTTATTGTCGCACAGATTCATGATATTAGAAACTGAATATTATATGGTTCCTTTGTGATTCAAGAGTTTCTATGTTAAAGAAGCTCTCGTCTGCAGTTTATATTCTTGTGCTACTTCCGGTTGTTAACGTCAGTGATGAATTGGTTCACAAAGCGACCCTAGCATGCTTTTGGCGGCAAGAATTCCCTGAAATGACATTCGTTTTGAACGAAAACTCTCCAATAATATCAGTTCCAAGTTCTCTAAGAGCTCTGTTTTAAGGGTTATATATTGTAACGTTAAGAGGACGTATCAGGAATTAAACTGCGTTCTAGATTTCTGAACCAATACCATTCCTGTTTCAAATTCACTCTATGGAATAATTAATATTCAGAGGGATTAAGTGGTTGCAAAAACTGCTAACGTTTTTGGAAGACCACGCCCGTGTCTACAGGCGTATCACTATAGAGTTTTCTATCTTACCAAATTCGTTGCAATACTATTACTAAAATATGCATTTGCAGAAATTAGGTGTTTTAAAAAGAGGAAAGAGTTTAGGCTAATCCCATCCAAAGCCCCAGCCTACTTGTATAATTGTTACCCGAGTTACCAGTGGAGCGTACCTGACAAGCATAATTATGCATTCCTAATCAATTTCTATTGATATGAACATGATATATACGCAGGCTGCTATTGCACGGAGCAGCACTGAGATATGGAGGACATGTTGAAATACGTTGTGTTGGTAGGGCACTTTATCGCCCCAGGATCCAGGATCACTGCGTTCAGTACTATTGTGTTTGGGTTAGTGTTGATACTACCTGGGATTTCCTCCGGTTCTATCAAAGGTAATTGTTTATTTTTATTTTGTTTTCAATTTTTACATTTTTTCATATATTTTTTGTTTTTCATTTCATTCACCTTCATGAATAAAGCATTTAGAAATCCCACATAACACTTGATGTGGATTGTGACAATATTATCAGTAGCGATGGGACAAAATTGTTGTAACACTCATATTATGTGTTATGTTGCACGAAGAAATTCGTTATTGAATGCATTTGATTAAAGGATCGTTTATGTTACATCGTGAAAAGTACATAACAGGAACGTTGGTATATCATTTATATTTTTTTAATGATATGATACATTCTATTGTTCAGAGAACAATTACAAATTATTATTTACATGTAAAAACAATACATTAATTAGTTTATAAATGATGTCACTGATGACGCTGAATTGTTTTAATGTTTCCTCTGTTACCATTATTGTCTCGTACTATTCGTACCAACTTTTGAGTTGAGTTTTTATCCATCATCATTGATATTGCGATGTTCGGTTTGCCTTTATGTGTAGACAATTTAGTAATATGTAATGTCCTCGGGCGATATTATTTTGTCCTTTGTCCTTGTGTGTTGACACTGAGATATTGTTTTGTCGTCATGGTATAATTCGTCCTTTTGTGTATACTTTTTACTGGTGTCTTGACAGTCCTCGTGATTTGTTAACGCAGCAAATGTTTTGTTCCTGTCGAATTGACATTGACATGAATGTTTCGTCTATGGATGTTGACAAAAAAAACACAACAGAAAAAAATCGAAGGGTAAACAAAATCTTCATTCAAACTCAAAACTGATAAAAAATATAGCAAAATATGAACAAAAGACAGATTTACATGGAACCTTAAAAGAGCACGAGGATAATAATACAAGTTGTTCCGGAAAGGTAAGCGTCTTCTGCTTTATCTATGACGCCCGCCATGAACATCTAGGTCGAATCCAAGTAATGTCATGTCCTCACGTCGGGAACTGGGGTAATGACGTCATGTCCTCACGTCGGGAACTGGGGTAGTGACGTCATGTCCTCACGTCAAGAACTGGGGTAATGAAGGCAAAACCTCACAGCACTCTTATGATCATAATCAAAAACATCGACCTCCGTATCATAAACAGAAAATCCATATTTGTGTGTTCACACCATGTAATGTGTTTGTATATTTGTGTGTTCACAACATGGAAAGTGTTTGTATATTTGTGTGTTCACCCCATGGAATGTGTTTGTATATTTGTTTGTTGCCACCATTGAATGTGTTTGTATATTTGTGTGTATATTTGTGTGTTCACACCATGGAATGTGTTTGTATATTTGTGTGTATATTTGTGTGTCCCCACCATGGAATGTGTTTTTATATTTGTGTGTTGACACCATGGAATGTGTTTGTATATTTGTGTGTTACCAGCATGGAATGTGTTTGTATATTTGTGTGTTCACACCTTGTAATGTGTTTGTATATTTGTGTGTATATTTGTGTGTTCACACCATGGAATGTGTTTGCATATTTGTTTGTTGCCACCATGGAATGTGTTTGTATATTTGTGTGTATATTTGTGTGTTCACACCATGGAATGTGTTTGTATATTTGTGTGTTCACACCATGAAAAGTGTTTGTATATTTGTGTTGTGCCACCATGGAATGTGTTTGTATATTTGTGTGTTCACACCATGGAAAGTGTTTGTATATTTGTGTGTTCACACCATGGAATGTGTTTGTATATTTGTTTGTTGCCACCATGGAATGTGTTTGTATATTTGTGTGTATATTTGTGTGTTCACACCATGGAATGTGTGGGTATATTTTCGTGTTCACACCATGAAATTGTTACCACCATGTAATGTGTTTGTATATTTGTGTGTTCACTCCATGTAATGTGTTTGTATATTTGTGTGTTCACACCCTGGAATGTGTTTGTATATTTGTGTGTTACCACTATGGAATGCGTTGGTATATTTGTGTATTCACACCATGGAATGTGTTGGTATATTTTCGTGTTCACACCATGAAATTGTTACCACCATGTAATGTGTTTGTATATTTGTGTGTATATTTGTGTGTTCACCCCATGGAATGTGTTTTTATATTTGTGTGTTCATACCATGGAATGTGTTTGTATATTTGTGTGTTGCCACCATGGAATGGGTTTGTATATTTGTGGGTTCACACCATGGAATGTGTTTGTATATTTGTGTGTTACCACCATGGAATGTGTTGGTATATTTGTGTGTTCACACCATGGAATGTGTTGGTATATTTTCGTGTTCACACCATGAAATGTGTCTGTATTGGTTTCCATCTTTTTCGCCCCTACATGTAGCATCACAGAAGAGTCCTAAAATAGAGGAACAGCTTGATGGTGCAGTGTAAGACATTTTGGCGTACCGTATAAATGACTAAATTGTATAGGTGCACTCATATGTGTGTATATTACGTTCCTCTGTCAGAAGATTGTAAAAACATTTTGTTGAAGATAACATATTATTTCCTCAATATTATCTCTGTCCATTTTGTTAATTTAGGGTTCGTCCGTTGTGCATTCTTCATAATGTCAAAAGGATAAAATTTCACGTCTAACGGGTTCGGAACAATACATTTATCTACAGAAAAAGAGAAAGAGGCATGTAAAATATTTATATTGGTACATTTGTTGGCAAATAATTATTCATATATATGACAGGATACATTCTAGGTACAAGATTACGGGCAACCTCGGGGACTGATAATACAACAGCGGTGTCAATAAACATGTGACGTAATCGCTAGAGAATCACGATAATAACAATGTCGTCAGTCGAAGCTGAAAACCAAACCATGCTCACATGTTTGAATATCTAAATACTGTGTATGCAGGTGATATCGTTTTGTTATTGGAGTCTAAAGAACCTTAGAATCGATTACATTGTTTCTATAGTTACGTTACTTTTTGGAATGCTAATGAAATAAAAGTTATCACATTCTCAAGAAGGACGATTTTATCAAGATGCTTATGTCTGTGATGGTGAAAAACAGAAATTAGTCAAAGATATCAAATGCCTTGGCACACATATGTATTTCACAATAAGCAGTTCCACACAAAGGGAAATTTTAACAAGATGTTCATTTCTGTAATGGTTAGAAACAGGAAATACTGGTCATCTAAGATATTGTCATAAAACTTTATTTCAAAAACGGCAGGTTTTTTTCTATTATATATGAAAAGTATATGTCAGAAGGAGACCAAAGCTATTTTTGTGTATTTAATGTTTCGGACATTAATGTTGTGCTAATTAAACTTTAAGATTAAACAAATTTGAAATTCGGTTAAAAAGATACAATGGAACGTGTCTTTCACAAATGGTGAAACATTCGCATTACATTTTAAGCAGTCAGCGTCAAATTGTATTGTCTGTAGTGTTTTTTGTTATTATCAAATACAATATGTCGTAAAATGTATTTACTTCAGCCGTGGTCATATTACTTAAACTATGGTTTCCTGGCTTTAGCTGTAGTCGTATGACTATATCTTGTCTTATAGCTTTAGTCGTGGTCTTATTTCTTTAACCGTAGTCTTATTTCTTTAGCCGTGGTCTTATTTCTTTAGCCGTGGTCTTATTTCTTTAGCCGTGGTCTTATTACCTAAGCCGTGGTCTTATTACTTTAGCTGTGGTCTGATTACTTTAGCTGAGATCTTATTTATTTAGCCGTGGTCTTATTACTTTAGCTGTGGTCTTATTACTTTAGCTGATATCTTATTATTTTAGATGTGGTCTTATTTCTTTAGCCGTGGTCTTATTACTTTAGCTGTGGTCTTATTACTTTAGCTGATATCTTATTACTTTAGCTATGGTCATATAACTTTAGCTGAGATCTTATTACTTTAGCCGTGGTCTTATTTCTTTAGCCGTGGTCTTATCACTTTAGCCATGATCTTATTACTTTAGCTGAGATCTTATTACTTTAGCTGTGGTCTTATTACTTTAGCAGAGATCTTATTACTTTAGCTGTGGTCATATTACTTTAGCTGATATCTTATTACTTTAGCTGTGGTCTTATTACTTCAGCTGAGATCTTATAACTTTAGCCGTGGTCTTATTATTTTATCCGTGGTCTTATTACTTTAGCTGTGGTCTTATTACTTTAGCTGAGATCTTTTTACTTTAGCTATGGTCATATTGCTTTAGCTGAGATCTTATTACTTTAGCCGTGGTCTTATTACTTTATCCGTGGTCTTATTACTTTAGCTGAGATCTTAATTACTATAGCTGTGATCTTATTACTTTAGCTGAGATCTTATTACGTTAGCTGAGATCTTATTACTTCAGCTGTGGTCATATTACTTTAACTGAGATCTTATTACTTTAGCTGTGGTCATATTACTTTAGCCGTGGTCTTATTACTTTAGCCGTGGTCTTATTTCTTTAGCCGTGGTCTTATCACTTTACCCATGATCTTATTACTTTAGCTGAGATCTTATTATTTTAGCTATGGTCATATAACTTTAGCTAGGATCTTATTACTTTAGCCGTGGTCTTATTTCTTTAGCCGTGGTCTTATCACTTTACCCATGATCTTATTACTTTAGCTGAGATCTTATTATTTTAGCTGTGGTCTTATTACTTTAGCTGAGATCTTATTACTTTAGCTGTGGTCATATTACTTTAGCTGAAATCTTATTACTTTGGCTGTGGTAATATTACTTTAGCTGATATCTTATTACTTTAGCTGTGGTCTTATTACTTCAGCTGAGATCTTATTACTTTAGCCAAGATCTTATTACTTTAACCGTGGTCTTATTACTTTAGCTGAGATCTTTTTACTTTAGCTGTGGTCATATTACTTTAGCTGAGATCTTATTACTTTAGCCGTGGTCTTATTTCTTTAGCCGTGGTCTTTTTACTTTAGCCGTGGTCTTAATTACTATAGCTGTGATCTTATTACTTTAGCTGAGCTCTTATTACTTTAGCTGAGATCTTATTACTTTAGCTGTGGTCATATTACTTTAGCTTAGATCTTATTACTTTAGCTGTGGTT